AAGCAGAAGATGGGACACCAGACCTGAAGGAGCTGTGTTGTTGGAGAGCAGTAAAGCCAATACTACAGGGTAATTTTTAACAGTACCATCCCTCAGGGTGTACTCAGCCCCATCTAAAGAGCTGTGATTGCCTTGGAGGAAGCATCCACAGAGTTCACTTGTGAAAAATCACAGAATTCACTTGTGAAAACTGCTGTGTGTGGGTGGAATGAGGTCTTTCCTACGCCACTGACAGGCTGCTGGTGGATGTGCTTCTCTAACTCTTAATTATGTTTTCTTGCCATATGCCCCTCCTGCATCCCATACAATGTTGAGGTGGAATGAACATGCCCTACACTGATTCTGTAGAACTGATTTAAGGGTCTCAAACTTGTGCTTAAATTCCCCCCTTCATTTTTTGGTAAGAAACAAGAGAAAGAACAGGTCTAAAAAACTGTAGTCTTATGTGTTGAACGCTTCAAGGCATTTAGTGATTTCTGAGAAGCAGCTCATTTCTCACAAAGAAATGTGAGCTTCTCACAAAGCTCATTTATCTAATGAGTGAATTGAAGTAAAAAATGAATAATGTATTAAAATTGGTTGGTGTTTCAATTAAAATATCATATTCTATAAAAATTAGTTCCAAGATTTCAGCAGCCCTAAAGCAGCCTTAGCAAATTATCTAGTTTGACTCTGAATCTGAGTGCAGGTGGTGTTTCTGCCCTTTATCCATATTTTCTCCTTCTCCAACTAAAGATTCTTTGTACCCAATATAAGGTAACTTTTTTCCCTTCACCAGAAACAGTTTTAATCTGAATCTAAAACTACCAGGATTTCAAAGTGTTAATGATTAAAAAATTTGGGTGGTATCAGCATGATTGCATTTGACTGTTTGGGGTTTGTTCTTTAGGGGACTTTTTGGGGTTTTTTTGAGGTTCCATTAAGAAATTTGATTTCTCAGGAGGAACTTTGTAACAGTCTAAGCCCTTTGCATTGATTCAAAGTAGTTATGTAAAACTTGAGGTTCCTGTAATTACTAGTTAACTAAAATAAAAAATAATTTGCCCTGTATTGTAGGAGTAGGAAACTGTTTTGAGGTGTGAGAGAAATCCTTTTTCCTCTTCTCTGGTGTGTTTTTGACCACCCAAGCAGAACTTTCTTAGCTGAGGGCAGGTATTGCCTTCAGGGGCATTCACTGCCTGGGTGGTCAATCTGGTTTAGGAAATTCAGTTTGTGATGTTATCGTGTTCAGGCTCCTTTGTCTGCATTTTTTGCCACATTAGTACTTTGGAGTATGGTGGAACTTTTCATTGTTGTGTTTGTTTTATCTCTGCTCATATGCAGAAGTAGATAAAATTGCTATTTTCAGCTATGGTGACTTTTGAAAATGTCTCTATTTCTGTGGACTTGGCCTGAGGTGTGTCTGTATCTACACATCCCTGAGGGAAGGGAAGAACCCATGTGTGTTGTAGGTCTCTTCTCCCTGCACAGCAACTGACATCTGCAGGTTCAGCAGGCACCTGGCTGGGCTGGAGCAGTCTGTGCCACTTCATTTAAAGCAGAGAGTGGGAAAATTGCATTGAAAATAAATGTTATCTCTAAAAGCAGAGTATGTACAAACCGAGGCTTTACCTAACCTACAGAAATGTTGCTTGTGTGGACAACTCCTGAGGAGTTTGCACGAAGCCAAAGTCCTGCCACAGACTTAATTCTAAATTCCCACTTTTCTCTTAGTCTCACTATTCTGAGTTCTCAAACCTGAATTAACATCTGTGTCTCTTCCAGCAAAGTCAAGCCCAGAAGAAAGATCACCCTGACCTATTTCAGAGCCCCTTCAGGTCCCAAAGAACAGGACAGAGGACTCTCCCCAGCCAGAACACTCCTTAGGGTAGAGGTGAGTAGCAGCAATGAGGATTTGAATGGAACAGAGGAAAATGCAAAGCAGCAAGGGATAAGCCTGTGTTGTAGCTGTTAGGCTGACATAATTCCATGAAAAGAAGAGTTCATGGTTAAGAGGCTTCCTGTGGGCTGTTGTGTGTTTCAAACATGTTTGAGATTGTGTTTTGGTCTGGGACTTGTAAGAGCCTTTGAAAAGTTGGGACGTTCATGGTCTCTTGAAATACAGCTGTGGTTTGCTTCAGAGTTAGAATTTCTTTCTGCTTTCACTTCCCTCTTTTCTACCAGCACACTTAGTTATTTAAAACACAGATATGAGGGCTTGTTACTGTGAAATTGGGTGATTTATCACTAGCCCAGGTCTTTGATGGTTAGCAGGCCTTTTGTTTGGGTTCCTTAGTGCTTCCAGCCCATTTTTGGTTAGAAGGTACCTGCATAACACCCAGGTTATTGCCCTGGGTGAAGAAGCCTTGCTAGGGAGTGCCCACTTTCAGCCAGGTCCTGCTCATCAAGAATTGAACCAGAGACTTCTGTGTGCACCTGTGGGACTGTTGTGTGTAAGGCAGCAAATGCAAGGTCCTGACCCAACCATCAGCTGCTCCTGGCAGGATGAGGAGGGAGCACTGTGCTCCTACACTTCCCCTTTGGGTGCCTCTTCCCTTGGGCTCTGTCCTGCTTTCTCCCTTCTTCCCAGCTGCACTCAGGTGATTGGAGGCCTCTGTTGGCCCTTGATCCAACTTTCCCCATCACAGATATTTATTGGGAAGTATTGAAATGAGCCTGAGTTTCCATGTGGAGGGTGGGGAGAGGCACCCTCGAGGCCCTGTGGATGTGTAGCAATGTCAGCTGGGTGTTTCATTTCAGAGTATTCTGCTGTGCATGCAGATCCATCAGCTCACCTGCTCTCAGGATCCTCTCTGATCACCCTGCTCTTCATTCCAGCCTCTGGCTCCATGGAGGGTTGTCCCTGCCTTCCCCAACAGCAGCTGTTGGCTTTAAAGCCCTGTTTGTAGGTTGTGTCACTGCACTGTCTGGCACATGTCTATGGCAGAAAGGAGACTTGTGCCTCTCATTTACAGGGCCCCTCTCACTGAGACAGTTTGTGGTTTCCTCAGCCCTTTTTCATGACTGATGGTGTGTGATGGGCAGCTCTCCAGGAAGAGGGATATGCATCACTAAAAGGGATGTTTACTATGAGGCATGGCCAGACACATAAGTACAGCTGCAAGACATGGGTTTCTGGGGATTTGTTTTCCTTTTACACTTTCCTTTCTTACTCTTTCACAGGACAAGGACTTCTAGTCTGAAGCAAAGTGACCCGAGCTGCTCTGTCCCTGAATCCATCATGGAACAGGTTAGAGTCAAACGTGTCTGAAGTCAGCTGTTCCCAGTTCTCTGGTGCACTTGTCCTGAGATACTTAGGAGGGGATAAGTCTCAGTGTTGGCTTGTGGCCTTCTTGAATTTCCCAGAATTTCTGCAGCGTTCCTGGCACTGTTCTGAATACAAGGGAAGAGGATGGAACCAGTTAGGTTGCAAGTTGCTTCCCTGCAGCTCTTGGTGTGGCACTTCCCCTTAGGGGACTGCAAGCTGGAGATGTAGCTGTGCAAGAGACTACAATGTTTATTGATAAAGCTACAAACTGCTGAAACTAATGAAGGAATGGGCACAGCCCTGTCATTTGCATTGCAATGGTTTGTGCAATGTTGAACACAATTATGATGCTGTTACTTAGCACACTTCAGTCTTACACATTGAGGTGTCACTGAAATGTCTGTCATGCTCCACCAGCCCAGCTCATGGTAGGAAACAGTTCTAATCCCATACTCTGCCCTGCCACAAGCCTTTTGTAGTTAAAAAACTACAGGTTTTAGGTTAGTAGGTTAAAAAAAACGTATCAGTGATAAACCCAATGAGCAGTCCAGCAGGTTGCTGGAGGGGATTGCCACTGTGCCCCATATGTGCTTTCTGTTCATCTCTGACTGATCATATACTTTATTTTCCATTTGTTTCCATTTCTGAACCCTGCCTTTTGTTGACTTTGTTCCTCCTTTTGTCCACCCAGTCAGATACAGTTATGTGGAGGCTTTGCAAGGTTCCACTCCCCAAAACTCCCTTTCAGTTACCAAGTTCATCCTGGTGTTGGCATAGCAAACCATTCTTTAATTATTTTTTTTCTCCCTAGATAAAATTAAGCCTGAGTATTTTCTTACAGGCAGACCATCTGCATACAAGATTAAGGATTTTCTTTCTTACTTTATTTCTGTGCTTACTCCACATCCTGCTCTCTTTACCTGTTTAAGTTAAATTATTGGAGAGTCTCCTGGTTTTCTGGAGGCCTTAGTTGGTTATGAGGCCTGGTGTTCCAGTGGGGCCTCTCGCTCCTATCAATCTGCCTGCCTCCTAATTAATTAATTTAATTTTTAATAGCCTGCCTTGCTTGAAGGCTGCAGGTTGTGTGGCCATGGAGACAGCATGTGCCCGTTTTCTGAGGGTGAGTGTGCCACTGGAGGTGGCAGTGATCTGCCATTTCTCTTGTGAGCAGCTGCTTGGCTCTCTGTGAGGAGCTGAACAAGTTTATTATGGAGCTGGTTGAAGTTCCTTTGAAGAGGGAGAAGAAATGGGAACCTTGGGGGTTTTTGCAGGCTTATGCTCTTATCACTATTTCCCACCTTGTTACTGCTCTGCTCTGATTACATTAACATGGGGAGCTGCTGCCTTCTTTATGCACAGCAAGTAGAATGCCCAATTCCCAAATACGGGGTAAAACCCTTCCAAACACAGGTGTCTGAGTAAGGGAAGTGGATGGCTTTTTGCTGAATACATGCCTGTTTCAAAAGAGGAGCTCAGATCAGGGTTGCTGCCACAGCTGGAAATGTGAGGAGATGGTGAGCTGGGTTTTTAACACAGGTTTGTAAGAGCAGAGCCTTCTGTCTTCCACCATGGGATGCTCCTGTGTGGATCCACATCCAGGACCCAGTCTGCATTTGCTGAGGCCTCGTGGACCCCCTGGCTGGTGCTGTAGGGGTGCTCAGAGGAGGCCACAGAGACGTGTTCAGGGTTGGAAAACAGTCTAGATGCTTTGAGTGGGCTGTTTTCTAGGCATGGGCTTAACAGTGATTTCCTTATGTCTCAGATCAATGGATCTCTTCAGATGGAGTATGCACTGCTGTTCACCTTCCTGGAGGCATCCTCAGACTGTCAGTTCAGAGACCAGCTGCATTCCCTGCAAAGCCAGCAGATTATGTTGTGCCGAGGAAACGATGACGATGAGCTTCAGACCGATGGCAATCGGAGCGGCCACTTTCAGAATGGTGAGCTAGGTGAGCAGGCTTTTCTCCATCCCACATGTCTCTCTGAACATGGTGGTTTTCTTTCCCCATTTCCTATCTTTGCTATGGTCTGTTTCAGAGGAATAATGTTTATTCTATTGAGAAAATTCACTATGTGGCTGTTGGTGGTGTTGGCTGGGAATTTAACACTTAGGTTAAGACAACTGGTGTTTGTACTTTCTCTCTCCATGGATTTCTAGAACACCTGTCACTGGGTTTTGTCTGCAGCACATCAGACAAGGGCACAAAGCTGATATTGGTGCTAGCTGCCCTCAAGGAGTGGATACAAGGCAGTTAAGTTAGGCCTCACACTGCTCCTCAGGCAGTATCAATATTTGGGCTAGGATCTTGGAACAGCTCGAGTTCTGGTACTGGATGAACCTCTTTCTGATCTACCAGTCTGGTGGAAACAGTTCCTCAAGTAGCTTTTGGTCCTGCTCCTGCTTTGCTGGCCATCTGCAGGGTGGCTACTGCCCCTTGCCCAGGGTGTGTCAGCTGCCACACTGACCTCAACTGAAGCAGGGTGAGGAGGAGCTGCTACAGTGAATTGCCCTCTCTCACACAAATCTGCACAGGTCTCATGCCAAAAGCAGGTAGACAAGGTAGAAGGTTCTCAGCTGAAAAACGACAGATTCAGACTAAATCTAAGGAAGATTTTTACAATGAGAGTGGTAAAACACTGGCACAGGTTGCCCAAAGAGGTGATGGATGCACCACCCCTGGAAACATTCAAGGTGAATTAGGCTGGGGCTTTGAGTAATCTAATCTAGTTGAAGATGTCCCTGCTTATTGCAGGGGGTTTAGATGGGATGGCTTTCAAGGTCCCTTCCAATTCCAGCTGTTTATGAGGTGCTGTATTTCAGATGGTGCTTAGGAGACAAGTCCTGACAAGTCACTTTAATTCTAGAATCATTAGGTTGAAAAAGACCTTCAAGGTCATGCCCAGCTTCTCATTTCCCCTTTCTGGGCAGGATGTTGTCTGTAACTGTCCTGTTCACATTTTGGAGATGTTCTAACATGCCCAGCAGTGATTTTTGTTTTTTTGGGCAAGATGAGGCTGCAGTTTACCTAGACTGCACATACAAACCCCTGTTTTCCACTATGTCTAGTAAGCAACCTGGGTGCACTTCAAGAAATCATGCTTAGACCTGTCATGAATACACTCAGGGATGGGAAGGAGGTTGCTAATGGAGATAAGCAAAATGCTGTGACCTGTACTGAACCTGGTCTGGCTACAGCCTGTGAAGTAAATTCTGCTCTTTGTGTTGGCAGGGTTGGCTCCAACAAATGAAGATGTTATCCGGATCATTGCTGCTCAGCTCGCTGAGATCGGAGACCAGCTGGATAAAGACATCCAGGGAAGAGTTGTAAATGACCTAGTGCAGCACTTTCTGAATGAGAATCTGTCGAGAGAGGTGAGTGAAAAGCAACCTGAAAAGCAGTTCTCCTTTTAAATATTCTTCATCCTTCCTGCTGTGACTTTGTAGGCATCTGAAAATTCATCCCAAACACTTACCTTTGAAGATTTGTTAGAGGTGATTCTGTGGCAGAAGTTAATGTGTAAATTGGGTCCCCTGGGCCCATGTCCTTTCTGCAGATGGTGAAATGGTGGTTGTGGAAAAGGCCTGACTTTGAGAGGCCTTTTGTCCTTTTGATGGCCCCATGGCTTATCTTGGAAAACAAGCGGTCTGGCTGAGGCTCAGATTTAGTACTTAGGATCTTTGGACTTTTGTGCCAAGTCCTGTATATCTGCTGACCATCATGTGGGTAAGAATTGAGCAGGTTAATGACAGAACCTTAACTTGTGCTTGTTGCTGAGCACTGAAGAGACAGCAAATCATGAGAGACCCTTTGTCTGGTGCTCTAAGGCACTGTGTGTGCTGTGTTCATAGGCACAGTTTTGGGAGTAGCAGTGGGTTTAGGCCTGGCTGGGTGACCTGCTGGGGTGGCCTCTTCCTAGATGCAGTTGGCCCCAGCATCTGACATGCCCTGCTGCTGTGCAAGAGAAGTAGAGTTTGAGGTCTCTTGTGTTAAAAAGGAAGGCTGTCTAAGGATTAGATCTACATCTGGATCAAGTGCCATGTTTTTTTTGGTGGGTTTTTTTTTTGTTGTTTGTTTTTTGTTGTTTTTTTATGTAACGGCCTGGCTGTCAAGGCTGGGAGGAAGGGGAGCACCATCCTGTGGAGTGTTACAACAAGCACATCAGTTCTTAGCACAGTCCTGGCAGGCTGTGCTGAGACCCCTTTCTGCCTCAGCTGTTGCACTGAGATCCCTCTCTTCCTTCCATACAGGAGATAACCCTGCACATGTCCAGGGCAGTGAGAGAGCTGACACGCTCCATCCCCTCAGACATGGAACAGGAGAAGGCCATGTTGGTGCTAGCAATGCTCTTGACCAAGAAAATTGTGAATACAGTGCCTTCCCTTCTACACCATGTCTTTAACACCACTCTGAACTACATGAACCAGCAGTTCCACAACTACATTGTTGAAATGGTGAGTACTGTGAGTTCTGTGGGAGTCACAGCCAGCTTTTTAGCTGTCCTGGGTTATTCCCTGAGGGCTGGCCTAGCTCTGAACTGCCTGTGGCCTGCTGGTTTCCCTGTAGTGCTCTGGAGGTTGGGCCAGAAGGGAACATCAGTCCCAGCAGAGCTGTGGAGTGTGCTCGAGGGGGTCATGTCACAGTTTCTGCCAGTGAACAGAGCATGTTTGTTCTGCTGCGCACAGAGCTGTGACTGCTCCTCTCCTCCCTGCAAGCTCCTCAGGGAGCTGTGCCAGTAAAATTCTGGTTAATGACTCTTTCATTCCCTCAGGGAAGAAAAGCCTGACCTGAGCTCTATTGACTGCATTTCCCCAGTGTCTTGACCCTGAGGTCTCTGCTCTTGTCCTCCTGAGCTCCCCAGAGCTTGGGAGAACTGGAAGGGGAAAGGAATTGCTCCTGAGAATTAGCACTAGCAGTGGAACAATGAGAAATGGTCAATTCTGTTCTTGTTCTCTGCTGGCACTCGAGAGAGGTGCGGAGGCTGTGCAGCTCACAGGCAAGCCAGGCTAGAGGCCCCAGCTTCAATAACAAATTAGTCTGGGGAGAGGATGCACACCCTGCTGTGAAGGCTCAGTGGTCCTTGAGAATGAGATTTTGGGCAGGGCTGTGATCCTGCCCCCCTGAGAAGCAGAGGTGACACAGTTGTGCTGTGCTGCAGGCCTGTGGGACACTCCTGCACTGCAGCCTTGCCAGGGACAGTGCTGGCAGCAACCTGCAGCGGGCCTGGCTCACCCTGGGCAAGGTGTCACTGGGCTGTGTCCCTTCACTCAGTTTGGCCCCAGGATGCTGAGTTATGCCAGGAATCAGTCAGTGAGAGTGGCCCGTGCTGCTGCTCCAGCTGACTCAGAGCACCAAGGGCAGGGAGGGGCCTGCAGCTGGGCACCAGGGCTGTGTCCCTGCTGCTGGCACGGGTGGGAGCACAGGCAGGTGGCACTGTTGGTGCTGTCCCACACTGTCCCCATGGGCCGTGTCCTGCTGGCATGGGCAGGAGCACGGCAGGTGGCAGCCTTGACTGCTTCTGGAGAACACTGCTGCTGTTAATAATGCCTTCTGTTTCTCTCCCTCTAGCTGGGTGAGTGAGCTCTCCAGCCCTGTGTGCAGCCTGTGCATTCCTGAAGATTTTCCTGGATGGATGAAGATCACTTGATTTACTCTTAACTTCTGAGATACAGCTGTGAAAGGGGTGGCAGATTGTAGATAGGCTTTTGTAGACTAGCACAGCAGTAATAGTAGCGTGAGCTGCCTGCCAGCTCTCCCAGTACCTGTAGGGAGTAGTGCTTGCCTCTCTCCTTTTACATTATTTTTTATTTTAGCAGCTGCAGCTTTTGTGCAGAGCCCCAGTGGGCACAGGGCCTGCCCTCTCATTGTTTTTTCTAAGCAGCTGTAGCATTTTACTTTAGTTCTTCACTTCCCAGCCCTGCTCCTGCAGCTGAGCCATGCTGCTGTTCCCAGGAAGGCCTCGGGCTATGGATTGGTGGTTCATCAGCAGAATCATCTGCGGGGGTGGGTGGGAATCAGGTCTGTCTTGATGAGAAGCTGGCAGCAAGACTGAACAGAACCCTGAGTGATAGAGGAGGGTGTGGCCAGACAAGGCTGACACAAGGATGCTTCAGTATCCATCACCATACACCTGTGTTTGCTTGAAGAATAAAACTGACTGGAAAACTGTAAAGAAAAGGGCAGGGCAGGCACAGGACAAGTCTTGGGAATGCAGCCTGGATATGAATTAGAAAAAGTAGCATATCTTGTAGTCACATCTCAGGTCGAACAAACTCAGACTCAGGTTGTTTGATGAATAATCACACAAGGTGGCAAATGTGTCACCTGTGATCCAGCTGCCTCAGGACTTTTCCAAGTATATAAATATTTTGTGAGGTTTTTTAACTTAAATAAAAAATTCATTTCTGATGGCTGCTACAGCTCTGCAGGCTTTGTTTCTACCTGAAATTTTTTTCTGCAAGTACTCACGGAATTCTTCTAATTCACTTATGATGCAGCTGGCAGCAGTAGAGACACTCGAGTCCTGTCCTTGGGCCTTGCATAAGCAAGTTACCGTGTAGGTAAAACCACCTTTTCTTCTGGTGCCTGCACTAAAACAGGGGGAGAGGGGAAGCACAGAAGTAAGTCTACACATTGTTTTTGAAAACTGTACCATTTATTAAAGTGCAACCTGGGGGCATGGTCTTACAGCAGTGTCCCATTAGCAGAGGGAAAAAATGTACATACCCCTTCACTTGAACTGAATATTGAACAATGAAGCTGGAAAGAACTTTCTTGTCAAGGTGGAAACACTTTTATTAACCAAATGGCACAAGAAGCTTCAGACAAGTTTTCCCCAAGAGGGCTGCACTTGCATATTGGAAGGAACAGTATGATGAGTTCCTGGGATAATGGGTGACCTGAGACCAGTCAGAGTCTCTTCCCCCAGGCAGACCTCTTGAGAACAGAATCCAAAATCCCTGCAAGTCTGTCACTATTTGCTTACACCCAGCAGAAGAGATCCCTAACCTGCAGCTTCAGAGTCAGTCCCATTAGACTTTGCTACTTAACAAATCAAGTGGCATTCTTTTGGTCTGGGTGGGTTTTTAGGTTTACACTTGAATAAAAACTTATCCTGCGAGTTAAAACTGAGGATGAAGCCCCTAAAGGTAATAGCAGTAAGATGCATCCTCTGCAATTTGTTGTGTCCACATCAACAGTGTCCCTTGCCTGCCCTGCAGATACTGCAGGGAGATCAAAAGCAGCTTCCACTGGAAGCCAACAGGAGCTCCCCCACTTCTACAGCATGACCATAGACCTCGAGCTTGGAGGAAGCAAGTCAGCCTACCCAAGAGACTGAGAGAAGGGCAGCTCTAAGTAGAAAAAAATGATAAAGTTATTTAACTTAAGGAGGTGGAGCTGAGTGATGTGTTGTGGTTCCCCTGGACTTTACTGACCCTTCTGAGCTGCTGTGTTTCCCCAGCCAAGTCCTGGTCAGGTACCTTCACTTTATCAGACACAAACTGAGTTCTGTTGCCTTGACCTGGCCCTGCAGTCCCTGCTCCCTGTGGGCCTGACAGCTTGCTCTACCCCAGTCAGGTAGTGCTGGCTGAAATTCTTTAAATACCTCCCCCCCATTTTTTTTGTTACAGCAATACAGAGCTTGCACCTTTAAGCACAGGTACATACATGAAGTCAAAGTAATACTGTTCTTGCAACCTTCCTCGTGCTGAAATTAGGCAGTCCAAGCCCAATTCAAGTCATGCACAGCTTCTGCCCTCACTAGGTAGAGTATTGTGCCTCACCCCTCCATGTTTAACAGAGTCACCTAGGTTTGGAAAAGACTTTTACGATTATCAAGTCCAATCTATGACCAAACACCACCTTGGCAACCACACCATGGCCCTCAGTGCCACATCCAGCCTTTCCAATCCCCTGCAGGGCTGGTGACACCACCAGCTCCCTGGGCAGCCCATTCCAGTGGCCAATCACCCTTTCTGTGAAGAAAATCACCCTTTCTGTTCTTCTTCCCAATATCCAAACTCAACCTCCCCTGGCACAGCCTCTCCCCTGATCCCCTCCTCTCCAGGCTGACACTCCCAGCTCCCTCAGCTGCTCCTCTTGTGTTCCAGACCCCTCACCAGCCTTGCTGCCCTTCTCAGGACTGGCTCCAGCACCTCACCATCCCTCCCAAACGGGGGGACCCAGGACTGGGCACAGCACTCGAGCTGTGGCCTCACCAGTGCCGAGTACAGGGGGACAATCTCTGCCCTGCTGCTGCTGCTGGCCCCACATTCCTGACCCAGGCCAGGGGCCATTGGCTTTCTTGGCCACCTGGGCCCACTGCTGGCTCGTGTTCAGCTGCTGTCACCAGCACCCCCAGGTCCCTTTCTGCCTGGCCTCTGGCCAGCCACTCTGTCCCCAGTTTACCAATCCAGCCTGTCCAGGTGCCTCCCAGAGCCCTCCTACCCTCCAGCAGACCAACACTTGCACCCAACTTCGTGCCATCTGCAAGTTTGCTGATGTTAAACTCCATTCCCTCATCCAGATCATCAATAAAGATACTAAACAGGAATTTGTCACTGGGAAACACTTTCTCCCATTGTGCTCCAACATGAGCAGACACAAATAGAGCCCAGAATATGGCATTCTGCTGAAGCCCTGGGCTTTGTGGTGCCTGTAGGCATCACACCTGGGCCAGCCATGTGCACCTCCCCACCCCACTCCCCCATTTCACACCAAAAGATTCTAGTAATTGCACTCCAAAACTCTGTAACAGGAGCTTGCTCTGGCTTGGTGAATGAACAACTGAGGTGCCAGAAGAGCAAGATCTACCGTTTTAGGGCTTAGACAGTACTGCCATACCTCTGTAACTGACATTAACTATAGGGAAGGTTTATAGCCTCAGATTATTTTATCTACTACACTCATTAAAATGAAAGAAGACCAAAGTTCAGGAGCTTGCTTGTTTAGTACTAATTAAACTTTTCATTTGTAACCATTAGAAAGCATTGATTAGTTTAAAAAGCCAGTCCAAAGTTTTAGCCTAGCTGTGGGGGAAGAAAGGAAATGGGATTCTGGCAGCAAAACTTGTCCTGTGTAAGAGCACTCAGCTTCCAGCTAGCCCTTGAGCTGCAGCTGCCTGAGCACGGCCAGAGGGAAAAATGAAGCCCTCACAAACAGCAAGGATGGATTCCTGCAGTACTGACCTGCCCCACAGCCTGGATCTTCTGAGCTCAAGGGACTCAGGAGCCCACCAGGCTCCACCCAGCACACAAGAGCTGGGACATGGCTTTGCATCTGCACTCTGGGCAACAGAGGGATTCTGCCTTTGCTCTCAGCCTCTTGTTCCTGCAGTGCCAGCTGAAGAAACTCCCTGCCCAGCTCCCAGCCACAATGCCCAACTAAGCACAGCTTAGAATTAAGCACAGCTAAATTTAAGTTGCACCTTCTCTTGAAAGCCTTTCCCTTGATAACTCCTTACTGACACGCTACCCACTGCAGTTCCTTAAGTATTTCCCACTTTTTTTCACAGATCCAGTCCTCTGCTATTTTAGCATCTCAGCTTTAGGGTATGCTAAGGATAAAGTGAAGACAGAATGGGTCTAAGGTAGATATTTTGTTAAAGTACAGGCCACTCAAGGACAGATATTGAGGCACTTCTGGGAAGGAGATGAGCAAGACAGTGAACATAATTCTCTATGCCCTTTTGCAGGTATATAGCTCCTGCCTTCCCTCTGCCAGCTACAGGAGATCCACTAAAGAGAGGTTGCACCACACCTTTCAGGGTAATTGGACCCTGCAGTTTAGGATTACTGTAATATACTTGAAAATAAGGGGGAAGAAAACTTCCATTGTTTAATGCACACCTCTTAACAGTGCAGCCTCTCACTCAGGTCTGTAGGAACACTGCCATCTGAGCTTACCCACCTTTGGTGATCTCAGCTCTGACCACAGGACTCCAAACTCTGCAGAACTCAACCTCACAGCTGACCTTTTTAACTAGTGGAGTGTGCCAGAGGAAAGAGACTCATACAGTAAATTTTCTGAACATGTGGTCAGTTCAAATTCTCGCTGACTTGCCAAATCTAAAAGACCCCAGAAGAAGAACATTACAAAGAAAAGATGAAGCAACCAAAACATACCTTGCAACTGATGCTCCATGAAATGTAGCAACACACCAGATACTCAAGGCCTGACCATGAAAATGCCTAACACAGTCATTTATTTTCCTTACTAGTGCTGCCACCTTCTCACTGCTGTGTGTGGAAGATTTATATTTCATGCCCCACTGGGCTCCTTGTGGCAGTAAGTCTGGAACTTCTTCCCTTGCCAGCCTGGATTTATTTTTGTCTGTCCTCCACCCATGTCCACACTCCTACTGAAACAACCCTATCCTGCATGTCCATGACAGATGGAGCATAAAGAGACCTCTCCTCCACGTGGAGGAAGCTCCTGCAAGGGGCCAGGAGAGGGAACTGCCATGGTGGGAATGCAGACACCAGAGTCCATGGCACGAGGAGGTCCCAGCCACCCCTTCCAGGGACACAGCACAGCAATGAGTACCAGCAGGGCACCAGAAAATGGCAAAAAGAAAAAGTCAATTCCATTTTGCAATGTGATAAAAGATTTGGGTTGGTTTTTTTTTTTCTGATAAGGCCAACCTGCTATGTTTTATACATGGAAGAAGAGCAATCAGTTATCAACAGTACAGTCCAGAACTCCAGAGCTCCCAAGTTCAGTCCACAGCAGCAGTATATACACAAACCTTCCTCTCAATATTCAACTTCACACACACAGAGTTCAAAATCCATTTTTTCTAGAAAATCCATTTCACAAAAGCTTACACAAAAATAATTCCTCAGAATCTGACACATTCTGACTAACTTTCCAGCATCCTGGGATAGGAAAATGCAGCAAGGATATTCTAAAATAGAGAATATGCTAAGATCTCTTCATTCTGAGATCCCATGTACTCTTGATATGGTTACTTAGAAATAATAATTTAGAAATAAAAGTACCTTGTCTTTGTGCTTTGCGAAGTCTTCCATAAGCTCATGTTTCATTTTTTACATTATCACAAGTTCCCTTTTCACCTTCCTCCATCTGGTCTAAACCACAGTGCCAGCACCAACCCTCAGAGATGCATGCACAGTTCTGCCTGGGAAGCCCAAGGTGTTGCCCACAGAGCTGCGGTATGGACAAGGACAGACACACAGACACGTGCTGAAAGAGGAACCCTTGTGGCAGGATCCCTCTGAGGAGTAGGGCAACACTTGAAAGCTTCTCTCCACGCACACCTGAAGTGCTGTGACTGCAGGAAGGGGGATTTCCTTTTTTTGCCAAAGTAAATTGCTCATCGTTTGTGAACCTGTAAGTTCAGCCAGTTACAGATTCACAGTCGCAAAAGAAATCGCACTGAACAGCACTCCAGGCCAGGCCAGGAACAAGCAGGTAGAGATGTTTAATGCTCTTTTGCTCAGTTACTAGAACCCATTGCTTTATATATCTGGGATTCTGTCACAGGCAAGACCAAGTTAGGACTAAATACACTCTGTGCTTAACTTGGGGAAGACAATGCAGACTGCAGCGTGACACAGGACAGCAGAGCGTTTAACGTCTGAATTGCACTTGAGGCACTGGCCTTGCTTCCACACGGGTTTGCTGTGTTTTTGCTGAATCTACCCCAGATATCAGAGTACTGATCCCAATGGCACCGTGTCCAGCATCAATTTCGTGCCTCTGAAGGGCTTGCAGTAAAGTGGGCTGGGCAGGAGCAGAGCAAATGGATTCTCAAACCAGCAAACAGCAGTGTCCCTCTCACCCTCCTGGGCAGCAGCACTGCCCCAGGAACACCAGGATGCTCAGAGATAGTACAGCTATAGAGAGGCAGCATCTTTACAGGATGGGGCTCCAGTAAACGTTAGGGGCCAAAACCAGTGTGAGCCAAGAGGTAAGAATAAGCACTGTCCCACTGGGGCTTAGGAGGAACCTGGAAGGTTATGAGGAGCAGTGCTGTACCTGAGAGGAAGCTGAGACAAAAGGGACACCAGCCTCTCGCTACAGGACTCAGGTTGGCTAATGTTTGTTAGGAGGGGCTCGGGGGCACAACAGGAAGTGACAAGACAGCACAGCTGCAGTAGCGGTCAATCTGAGAAGCCAAAATCTCCAGGGGTTGGCAGCAGCTGGCTCTCCCCTTCCCCTGGGGATTCTCTGTTCCAGTTCCTAGAGTATGAGCACCCCTTTCTTCAGCACCTGCACTTTAAGTTCTTAAATTTGCAGATTCTTTTTTTTTTTTTTTTTAAAAATACCCCCATACTTTAATCACGAAAAACCAGTCCCCGCCCCGATTCTACTTAAAAACATGATTGTCCGTAGCTGGAGGCTTATTGAACAACCTCACCTCATCACCACTGAGTTACTCAAATGTCCAATTAAACAGCAGGCAGCTCAACCTTTAGGTAACACAACTACAAAAACTGGATGTGCTCTCTTCTCTCCCCCCTCCTCCTCAAGAGAGCTCCGTTACTTTTTCCTAAGCGCCAGCGCTACTCCCACTGCCACAGCCAATATAGCGACGGCGGCAGCCCCGCCGTACAGCAGTATAGATTTCCCTTCTGGCAATAGGATAGGCTTCTCCTCTGCAGCTGAGGATTTCTCTTCTATTTCTTCCAAATGACCCTCTTTCCCCCCTTTTTTTTCCCCTGGAAGCAGTATTTTCTCAGGTTCTGGTGCAGCCTTTTCTTCCGATGGAGCTAACTTTGGGACAGGTTTACTTAACACGGGGATTTCAGGTTCAACAAGCTCTTCAGCTGCTTTTCCCTTCTCCTCCTGTTTTGTACGCAGAAGTGCGGAGGGATGTGCTTTTCCAGCAGCAGCAATTTCAGGAGGTTTTATTTCCTGTAAAGAAGCAGAGGTTTCTGGGAAGGCTGCCTGCATGGTCTCTGCAGCGCCGGCTGGCACCACTGCTTCCTCAATCCCCTCTGGTATCTCTTCCTTCTCCACGTGAACAATGTCAGAGTTGGAAGAGTTGTTCTCACTCCTCTCTTCGCCTCCTCCGTTGCTGTCCAGGCTTTTGACTTCTTCAGGATCCATGGCCACTTGCTGCCAGGACTCAGGTCCCAGGGACACTGGCAGGCTCTCCGTGTGCCAGCTCTGACTCGCTGACAGGGACACGGGCAGGCTCTCCGACTGCCACGACGTGGTCACCGTGGGGGACTCCGGGGGGCTCACCTGCCCTGAGTTGTCACTGGTCAGGATGTAAATGTCATTGCTGTCCTCTGCAATGAGCCCAGGATACTCTTCCTCTTCCGATTCCAAAGTGAAAACTGTTCCCTATGAACAAAAGGGAGGACACAACATGTGAGTGATGCCTTCAGTGTTCCCTCCCCTGAACAGGACAGAACAGGACACCTGCAAACTTGGTGAGCTGGAAGAAAGATGAGAAGGCTTCTGCAGGAACAGCAGCTGCCTGACCTACATTTCAATAGAGATTACAGAACCCAGCTGGTGTGTTCAGAGAATGGAACCCCTTACATGAGCTTTGCTGGGAGCTCCTCCTTTCCCTGACCTTACTTTTTCGCCATGGCATCACCAAAACACACCACATGGTCCTTATTAACCTGACAAGATAATAAAGTCTGAAACCAAACTGCAACAGTATGAAGAAAAAGAAAGCAAATGCAAGTGCATGATCCCAGCTGAATAGCACTCCCCACTCCTTTCTGTGCAAGTGCTCTCTATTGCTTGTCCATTTTTATCTAACAGTGTTCCTCTTACATTAATTTATACCATTCCCAGTGCCATGTGAAGCCTGTATTTCTACTTTATACCAACAAGCTGGAATCTACAGTAATTCTAGTAATTTTCAACAATTTTAGCTATTCTTAAAAAAGTTCACTTTCAAAGACTGGTATCATAACTTTGGCTACACAACTGAAGTTGAAACAACCAAGCACAGACACCAAGAGATAGTGACAGGGTTTGCTTGCTTTTCGTTTAGCTAGGAAAAATCTGTAGGCATCCTAAAAATTTGACAGTGGATTTCAGCTGTAGAAACTGCAAGTGTAAAATACTGATTCCCTGTGATCAGCCCCAGTTCATGTACTGGGATCCATGGTCTGGAATATCCCTGTGGCCACTTTGGGACAGCTGCCCTGGCCACGCTCCCTCCCAGCCTCTTGTGCCCCTCCTCACTGGCAGAGATTCTGAAAACCCCTTCACTCAGGGTAAGCACTGCTCAGCCACAATTAAAAACTCAGTGTGTTATCAGTGCTATTCTCACCCTAAATCCAAAGCACAGCTCTACCAGCTAGGAAGAAAACTAACTGAAACAATTCCAGCTGAAACAAGGACAAAGAGATGAGGGCAGAGAGGAGCACCTAAGTTTCCTGTGCCATATAATAGAAGTCTGTAAAATAATTAACAAAGATTCAGTAACTTTCTTGCCTGTAACAAGAATGATTTGAACATTCTATGAAGTACTGCAGTGCTGGGAGCCCCTTCTGTGCAAGTTCCAAATTTTTCTCTGCAGTCCATCATAACAAAAAACTCCATTCATTCTCTTTCTCCTTGCTCCCTTCCACACACAATAATTCTCCTAAAGCACTCTGAGCAATTGTCCCTTTTTTAAACCCTTCCCAACACCTGTGAATTTGGGGCTTGGTTCCTACCTATTCCCATTCCAAGATACCTCCTTGGTTGTTTCACAACTTTTTATGGATCCTGTGTCAGGAACTCATGCCAGTTAAAAACAAGCACACTTTCTATTTTGTGGAGATGTTTTTAACCCTCAGCCCATGGAATTTTGGAAGATATTTGGACATGGGCAAAGGAACATTACAGAACACATGAAAAGGAACTTTTCTTCATAAATGCCTTTAAATTGCTCAGATGTGGGAAACATCATCCAGCTTGGTAAGATGTTCAGGAACTATAGTGAAACAATGCAAAGAAGAAGGGGTTAAAAGCAAATAAACTGTTCACTAACCATTCGAGGATCACCACAAAGTCTTAATTCAGAATGCAATAAAAATGAGTAAAGCATTACATTTGTGAAAATTTTCAGACACCAACCAAGTGCCAAACCCAAAGCAAGCTCTGCTCTGCAAGCAGTCACTGACAGTTCAAGACTCCATCACCCTCCTGAAAGTCATGTTCCAGTAGAAGAACTAATTTATTTTTTTTCTTTTTAATGCCTCTCAGGCCATTGAAACAAAGCAGAGCTCTAAACATAGGAGGAAGCAACCAGCAGTGCAAATTAAGGGCAATGGAAAAGAAGAGCCAAGAAACTGAAGTAAAGGCAGAGGTTACTGGATCCAAAGAGACCAAGCACTGAGCCCTGTGCAGTGTGGGAGGACAGGACTCCACACCTGTCCTGTTCCAGCAGACACTGGAGAGCAGCAAAGGGAGTCAGGCACTGTGCTTGGCTTCACCAGCCTCTGCTGAGGATGGACAAGCAGCCTGCTGCCCACACACTCTGTACACTCACTCCTTTGACCAGCAGGTTTTGCCCTGAATGCTGTTAAAGTAGGAAATACTCTCACTGGAGTATAAGCCACTAACAGACACCTATGATCAAAGTCAATTTTTTATTTCCACAGGTGACACACGTTGGAGTCTGAGATACAGAGTGTGTGCTCTTGTTTCTGATACTTAATTCTCAGATCCAGAAAAACACTGAATTTCATACAACATGAAATTCATGAGCATGTTTTCATGGTGATACATGAAAACAGCTGTTAAAGCTAGACAGAAAAGCTAAAAGTGTGAGTGTGTAGATTAGAGCGTTTTCGTAAGTCACTGGGTGAAAAAGTTTAGAGTTTAAGTTAGTTTAGAAAGCAGAAGACAAGATGGAGGATTTAGAATGTTGTTTCTTTTCCTTCTTTCTTCTTCATTTTCTTCTAAAAGTTTTTGGGTAATAGTAAGTGATTGGTTAGAAAATGCCACAGTGCAGCACACAGGTGATGGGTCATTGGGTCATTAAGAAAAATAATATATGTGTCTATTGTTAATTGGGTAAGAATGAGTATAAAGATAAAAGAACTGCATAGTTTGGGGCCATTTTGTGCTTTCAAAGCCAAAGTGAGCCACAAGGCCATTTTGTACCATGAAAACAAAATGAGCCAGGTTGTAGTGAATTAACCTTGTGCAGTTAGTCTGGAGAGACCTGCCAAGTTTTGTAATGACCTTCTAATAAACACAACAAACAAGATTCTAACGAGCTCGGGAGTTTTCTTCAAACCTAGAGAAGTGAGATAAGCGGGGCTCCCCACGAAAGAAGAGCCCAAAGAAACTCGGCTCAGAAGATACTGAGAAATCCAGGAGGAGAAAGAAAAATACAAAAAAAGTGCAGCAGAATCAGAGAAAGAGAAAAAAGAAACGAAAAAGAATTTTTAGAGAAAAAGTTACAACACAGACTCAGAAAAATGGCAATCAAACAACAAAATAATTAGGAGTAAAAGCTGCAGTCTCACAAACCTCTGTACTGTCCTCCTCTCTGTTTAGCTCTCCACTTCCACAAATCAGGATGAATTTATTTCCTGTCCACACCACATCACAACACACTAGAGCATGTCTGTGGTGTGACATTAGAAGAAAGAACAGGGACACACAGTAGTGATAACAGCTCTGCTCTTAACATTCCCATGGAAGTGCGCACATGCTGCTGTGACTCACTCAGCATGAGGCATATACAAAAATAGTCCAAAAACACACTATGCTGCTGAGGATTTGTGAGCTCTGGTGATTGTAGCAAAAAAACCCCCACCAACAAGGGCTATACTGAGACAGCCTGAATTCCCCTAAAATCACACACTGTGCACTGGTGAAAGCCAGGAGGCTTTGAGCCGTGACTCAGCAGCCACAGAGGGGAGGATGGAGCCACCTGTAGTCAGAAATTAAATTAAAACCATCCTGTACTTCTCAATACCTAATTTCACTGCAGATTTGCTTCTCACAAAATACAGGCAAGATCTGGGCACATCCAGAGGGTAACGTGCAGGATAAACTGCTTTGGAGAGGGTAAGGAAATGAAGGATGATACAAGGGACATGGGCCATCCTCATAATTTCAAATACCTCATTAATACTGTTAATTGATTAATTAATAGTGCCAACACTGCACACTCAGCCTGGAGGGAGGAGGACCAAAGGGGCTCAAGAGTTTCATTGTTCCTTTTCTCACGCAAACCACGCTGACCTCAAAAGAGTTATCAGTTGCTGGCTCCCGATAAATCAGAGCCTTCTGCAGCCTCGCTGATTCCTTTCTGTCTTCACAGACAATTTACCTTCCGTGTCAGTGCCTCAGGGACACAGCTCCCCAGGCTTGGAGAGACAGACTGCCCCTGGCTGGGAAGGCTGGGGCAGAGCTCACACACACTGGCACTGGGTAATTCCAGGGCTGTTTCCTTAAAAGCTTTCGTTATGAAGCTTTAATTGAAAATCTAGACAGTAATAAGCATTATTTAGGATACACGATTAATATTTCTTGAGCTGAATTAAGATTTAATACATAAAGTCAAGCGGATAAAGCTCGGATTTTGTGCCAGTTCAGCTGAGGTTTGCATTTTTGGTGGGTTTTTTTTTCCTTTTAAAGCAGCTGTGATAAAAACTGAATGACATTTAGGACAATTCTCTTGATTCATCTACAGATGTGACCCAGAAGCAAAGCTTCAACAGGCAGATTATTTCAGGACAGGATGGAATATGTGGAAGGATTTTTAATAACCTGAGGAGGCCTTATATAAGCCTTATACTTTAGATTTAATAGTAAGTACAGAATGTATGTAAGTATTTTGCTGCTTTGTTTATTGTAAATAGACAGTATACTGCTTCAAACCAGAAACATCAGAGTTGCTTTTTTTCATATTTGCAGTTGGAAACTTGCAAACTTGGGAGTGTTCTTCCTCATCCAGCATGCTTAGAGAACCATGTCAGGTGGGGTAGAGAAGCTGGAGTCCCTCTCTGCAGCTTCCTGCCACTCCTGATGCCAGCCACTGCCACTTGAGGGAAGAGTTGGCACAACTTATGAGGAGACAGAGAGCTGCACATTTCCCTGCTTGGATACAACACTGCCAGAATGAGGCACATCCCTTGAGCCAGTCTTGGGGAAAAGATCAGCTACCAAAATCAATCACTGTCCTGAGCCTGTGGGGTTTGACCCAGGAATGTTGCACAGTGATTGTACAGGAGTCACTGTTAACAAATGTGGCACACTTGCCCTCAGGAGAGGCTACAGCCAGCGTGCTACAGAGTGAGCTACACTGGACAACAGCAAGATGGTAACAGAATAATGAAAAAAACCTCTGAAAGCTCCTACAATGATATAGTACAGCA